CAACTGAAGAGATTAGGGCGGAATGTCGATTCCTGTATGAATTCTACATTTATACTAGCCAGGCTTGAAAAAAGATCGATAGGGTCAGAGAAAACAGTAAACCTGTGTGAGCCATAACCCGGAGAGAAAACGCATCCTACATTCTAAATCAGGCAGATTTTTTAGTTCTGAGGGGAGAGACATTAATGATAAACTATAGAGGATAAGATCAATCCTGACCTAAATAGAGAAAGGTAGAAATTTTGTTGCACTAATGGAAAGAATTTAGGTGGAGCCGTAAGGATATTCATACACAAAGAAAACAGCCATTAATTCAGAAACGAAAATATGTGAACAGAAACAAGTAGATTTAGGATAAGTAGACATTGCTTGAAGTTTATAACGATTCCACTTTACGATTTAAGAACAAATGATCTCTTGAGAATTTAAGAAAGAAAGTTGATGTGAAAAAAAAGTACTAGCTTGATGATTTTTCTCGTGAGTTGACTTTCCCACCTAAGAATTAGATGATGTCATATAGTAGAGATAATATATATCAAATGAATGATATAAAATAATGTAGAGAATAAGAAACAATTGAATTTAATGAACAAGGAATAGAAGTCATGAAGTGAAGATGCTAACAATATGATGAAAGAAATAAGACAAACAGTTTATTACTGCTGAAATAATATCGACTAAAATAAACAAAGTAATAGGAATGAAAATATTTACTATTCATCTAACGACTTCACTAGCGGAACATAGTCGAATCAAATTTATAATATTCTGTATATATTATTTTGTCTTAAGTAGATGTGATTAAAATATAACTAGTATGATGTGTTTTCTTGTTATCTCATGAACTTAAAATGTGCTCGTTTACAATTTATTTCAGTTACGCAATGAAATAAATACATGAATTCAGAAGCAAATGATAAAAGTGTTATGTAGAGAATTTTTCAATAATGACTCATTTCTAGGTAAATTATTCAAGTTAATGATTGGAAGATTGCAATCATTTCGGAAGTTGTCATCAATTGTGATGAATGATTATCCCTCTATGTCTACAGTTAAAATATGGACGCCTAAACTCTAATAGCTTTTCGTTTATCTCGGGTGCTGAAAGTTTTGTCACTCATTGAGTTATGAGTGTGAATTATTTATAAGTAGTTTTAAACGCAACCAAACAGCCATCTAATGTTCTACGCTTTTTTATAGTTTCTCCGTTGGTTAAAAAAATTAATTATCGAATGCCTAGACATACAGGTAAATGGATGATTACATTCTCAAGGGTATTCATTCAACTTACGAATGATTCGAGTATTTTTCAGTTCTGGAATAAATTTTAACTTGATAGTCTTAGGTTTATCTTATCTGAAATATCAAATTTTCTGGATAAAATAATAATGATACGTCGTAAATCTTTTATAGTTATGGTCCCAAGTAAGCTATAATGATGTAAGTATATTACAACATATTCAAAGAGGAGAGTGTTTGAAGTTAATTTCAATCAAGTATTGGTATTTGTTGGAGAAGCAAGTAAAACTGAGTAGCATGAACCGCGATTTCGTCCTAGTTAGAAATTCATCAGTAGTTTGGACTCTACATTAAACAATAACGGATTTTAAATGAAACGGTCGTGATTAATGGCTACTTTGACAATAACTAATTTCTAGATCAGTTCACGCAATTCTGATAATAGTTGATGGGTGATGACTTTTAGACATTTGGAGAATGAGGTAGATTTCACTAATGATGACAGAGTAAAATTTAAAATATGTCGTTTTCGAGAAAACACTGGCTTTTTTTTAATAGAATGACCTTTTTAATAAAAATCGTAAACCAGAGATAATACATCATATTGAGATTGTCGTGGTTATCTCCTTTTATTTCGTTAATAGAAAGTTACATGTTAAGATGAATCATACTTTTGTTTGCTTTTATTGTACAATCTTACTCATACAACGAACCCGCATGAGACTACGGGATAGTCTAGAGTATGCAGTGAGTAATGGTAGTGTTGTAATTCAACTTTGTGTAACTTATATGGAGCAGTTTTGATTGATTCTAGGTAAGCACATGAAACTTACTGAGGTAGGTGAGATGCGTATTATCAGATGTTTGCTCACAACGTATATCAGTGATCATGAAATTAGAATTTATTTTGATAATGGTTAATGTTTAATCTCATAGTGAATGCTACTGATGGTAATGAGTAGTATGAGGTCATTCATGTCAATAGGTTGTTAAATCATACTTCAAAATCGAATTTAACGAACGAACAAAGTTATGAGTACACTGCTTATTTCACGATAATATGCTGAAGTTATCTCATATTCACAACACAGACTTTCAGACTTAAAGTTGAGAAATCCCTTTTATTGATTGTGAATGAGATATGACACCTAAATGATACACGGATGAAAACAGAATTTTACAGATTATATGAAGACTAAGATAATTTGTTTTGTCACTCTGAAAATATCGGACTGAGCAACAAGTTAATTTCGAAATTCTGTAACTGGAAAATGTGAACTGACTTACAGATGATCCTGTAAGTTAGAAAATGGAGTTTTTTTTATCATGTATTGTAAATCATTGAACAAAGTTACAATTTATGGAAATTTAGTTGATAATGATGAGAGAAATAAAAAAAAAATGCATACAAAGTCACTGAAGTAAAGATGAAAAGTAGGTTAGGCAGGTAAAATTTACAAGCATTAAAAGATGTACACTAGAGAGTGAGTTTAGATCATGTTATTCATTTTCATTCATTTAAAATGAATTTCAGCCGGTAACATCAGATACACCTGATTATTTTCTCTACTGAATTAGTCCATTTAACACACTCGAAATATAGGATGGCCTTATTTCAACGTTGAATGTCAGTTTTTGTTAGTTGTACACAAACCTATCGACTATCGACAATTTGTGTGATTGAGTGAAACTGTCAATATTATGTATTCCAGTATCAGTCAACTGATACAATCGATTCAAAAACTAAGTCAATTAGTAGTAGTGATTGTGCATTTATGCACCATTAAGTTTGACTGACTGATGCGGGTTTATTCAAGCCTAGTGTCGTCTTAGTTGGGCTCAAGCTGAGCTAGAAAATCAACCAGGTCAAACTACATGCTTGCAGTGAATACAAATGCACCAGTAACTATATGAGTATATCGTTGCACACAAATACGTGGGTGTACGTGAACGTAAATCCATTAAAAAAAGATATGCGTATATGTGTGAGAGAGTTAATTGATTCAAGTTCACAATGGTGCATTGGTTGAGATTTCAGACCGTCGTCAGAACTAAATCACTGTATCATGAATATGTATATCAATTGAAAAAAGAATCGGTTTATAAAGCCTTTATTAATATCAAAAGGGTAAATAGAACAGAACCAGAAATAAGCAAACGACATAAGAAGTAATTTACAAAGAAAATCAAAAAGACAGACTGAATCTCCAGTTCAAATAGACATAATGTTAGTGAATGGAAGTGGTTGTAGCTAAACCGGCACAATATATTTTCGAACTACGAGTTAGTTTGTTATTAGGCAAACCAGAAAAATTGATTTCAATTTTATTTCCTACTACTATATAGAATGTTTGTTTTCTTGTCAGAAAATTTCCATCATAATCAATGTCGACATGATAGTGTGATAAATGGAATACTGAGCAGTTTAATTATTCATCAATCAGTTGCTTACAGTTTAAAGTAATTTAGTTGACCTAAATACACACTAGTCAACTGGCATGATTTACAGACTAGTAGTTGGATTACAGCCATGATCGACTTACTTCGATAAATCATGATGTCGGAGTAGTGACTTAAAAATCACTAGAATTCAATTAGATCGACATAACATCTGTCTGATGTGTATGTTGAGGCCGCCTTTATCAAGTTTGAATGAAGACCTGGAAATATTTAATTAACAGCTTTCTTGATATGAACTTTTCGTACTAAAAGACTTTTAAATACTTTTATGAAATGTCTCTCGTATTATAATCAAAACGCTTGCTTATGCTTAAGGCGTCTAGTTGATATAAGGCTACTTGGCTATGAAATGAGAATGTAAGAGAACTGAGTGACGTTAAAAACACACCTCACTCCTACTATTTCATTCGACTGTAGGAAGACATTGAAGAGCAAATAACCGAATAATTTTATCGTAGACAATCTTCGGAAGATAAAGTTTTAGTCGTTTGATGTTTCAAGATATTCATCGGTTGAACTAGAATTAGTTCTTTTCGGTGGTGCTGACATAATAGCCATCTAGTCGCTTTTGTCAACAATTCGAGGATGTTTTCCTCTCTAATTTGTTTCATAATTGTTCTGAGTCACAGACTAAACTGATGATCAGAACAATCGAGTGAGCAATGCTGATGTCGGACGTTGAGTACTAGGCAAAGACGGCGAACCAGATGATATTCGGTCTACATTTGCTGAAGGTGGGGGATCTACTACACATCCTCAGCCACCAACTATCTCAACAGACGGTTTGTTGGTGCTAAATAAAAGTTAGAAACCATCAATCCAGGACTTAGGATCAATTCATAAAGCCAACGACTGTTGAAGTGAGACGTATTGACAAGTACAGATATTTACAACTGAAGACGTCGGATCAGAACCGATCACAGAGCTCAAGATATACGCTTTGTCATCCGTTAGACCACAGGTCTTAAAAACACCTCATGTTTTCCTATCTTACCAATTTATTCTTTATGAATCATATTGCTTATGACTAGTCTTTTTTACTACTTGTACTGTTACTACCTGTACTACTTTGATATTTATTTCTATACTTTTATCTCGATGTGCTATGGTAACTTGAACTAATGCACAAGTTCCACGTTGCTTACGATTGACTGATTTAAACTCTGTTTAAGTTCAGAAATTCAAAAAATAATAAGTACCTCACTGTATGTAACGTTTGGTTACCTTACCAATACTTTTGTTCATCAAGACGTCAATTACATCTTTATAGTACGGATATTAAAGATAATGCTAAAAGAGAATTTTCGTGATAGTGCATAACAATTAGATGAGATTCTTATTTTATCATATTAATTTAGGCTGTTAGACCAAATTGAAATTTACACTTTTGTCTACTAAAGAGGGTTTCTTATATGATTTACATGTAATCCAAGTGATTAATAAAAATTTTGGATTTAGAATTCACAAGGAAAACAAAGTCCAATTCGTCGAATCGCCAAGAGGATCACAAAATTATCAGTTTTTGTTTGAGAGAAGGACTAATACATGAACATACATACAAATTAACAAAAAGTGTAGAATGGAATGTCATATATATAATACGATATCAGCAGAACAAAAGAAGTCGGAGGGCGTGCCTGAAAGAATTTAAGGGAGAAGTGTGTGTGTTATAAGTGAAGATTAAAGTGAAATGTTGGAACATAAAAGAACACATGAAATTATTTCTGCGAAAAAATTCACATTAACATCAATACATCACTGATCTGATGAATTACTTTCTCTAGATTGTTCACTAAGTAAGGAGAACATTACTAGTATGATATATAAATATAAACCGAATATAAAAGGGTATGTAGTTATAATTTATACTGTTGCTTTAAACGCATTACAAAACAATGTCATTAAATAAAAAAAGGTAAAATTCAGAAAAAAAGTTATGAAACATTTGTTATACAAACAAGTTTTAATAACTAATAATGCATTTGCGGGTAATATTTTTTTTATGATTTGAGGTATTCATTTTTGTTAATACAATTCCTGTTAAATAATAATCATGTATGTTTATATGTACAAGATGAGTAGGAGATGTGTGTAGCATAACATACTAAGCATATATAATATGAGACAGATAAGAAAAATTGTTTACGTGGATGTCGGGCATGGACGCTTTGATTTAAGAATCATTGAACGTCTACTACGTGAACCAGATGATGAGTAAGCATTGTCTGGATTTATATACTCATCAATAGGTTTCGTTGCATTCATAGAGGATAATCGACCAGGTAAATCATCTGGTTGATCAGATGGATGAAAAGCTTTAGGACGTGGTATAGTAAGGATAATTGGAGGACGGTGTTCTTCATAGGGTTTTGTAGCTACGTCAGGAGAGAATGCAGCATGTCCGTTTAAATGAGCAGTATGTTGAGTTTCATCATATGAAATTTGACTAGAGGATTCTGGTTTAATACCAAGATCGATGGAGTCACTTTCAGTTCCAGAAAACCGTCTTTTTCTACAAGGAGTGTTTTGAGGAGACACACATTCCGAATCGTTTTGGCGATGTTTCTGAGATCCTGGATTGTGATTTGTTTGTGATAGGGTTTTGTTAGATGCAACTCCCAAAGCTGATATATTCGCGTTACGCCCAGGAGAATTAGCTAACATTAGGAGTTGGCTATCAGTATACAGGAAATAATCGTCTCTATTCAACCTACTAGAACACATAGCTGCAGATTTGAAACGTTCTGGAACATGAGCATGAACGCCTAATATGTGTTTTCTTACATCTCCGAAACCGTGATGTGATGTAGTCAAACATGCACAGCAAACATAAATGCGTTGGGTGAGATTGGGAGTTTCCCTCATACGAGTAATATAAACAGAATGTCTAGCATACACTTTCATGCGCTCATGCAAGCTATTAATAAAGCTATCACCATCAGGTAGAACAGATCTAACTTGATGATCGAAAACAGCAGGACTATACAAGAGTCGAACGATTCTTTCCAAAGCCCACGAAGGCGGTAGGCCTAACTTTTGACTCCATGAAATAGACTCTTCAGGAGTAAGTATACGACGAGGAGCTTCTAGGTCCAGGCCATTGTGTCTTTCTTCGAATACGTAAGGGTTTGGTTCTGGAGACCTTGTAGAATTCGTATTAGATGACGTTTTACCATTTAGTCTGTTATACTCTGAGGGTGGTGACTCATCTGGTTCACTTAATTCATACTTTACACTTGGAGCACGCAACATGGGCGGTAAAGGATGGTTTGAGGAATATGAAGATGAATGATGTAAGGCTATTTGGCTAGGTGCAGAATGATTGAAACCCATGCTCGAGTAAGATGTGGTTGATCGTTGATTAACTGAACTAATGGAACTGGTAGATACAGATAACTCCGGAATTCCTTCTATATCATTGGGTATGATAGGTTCTAAAGGACGTTTAGTTGGAGATATCCCACCTTCTGATTTACGACTATAACTCTGAATTCGTGTGCTTCGAAATTTGTGTTGTTCAGCCAATGCCAAAAGAGAAGTATCAGCATAGAGCTTATATCCAGACTCTTTAGAAATACGAGACGCTTGGCAACATAACGTTAGTAGTTCTTGAGGAATCCTGGCATGCACTCCCAGAATATGACGTCTGCAATCGGCTAGGCTGGCTGGTCTAATATCGCTCTCAACTTCATCGCGAACAACCTGCGAAATGGGAAAAAAATAAATGATGAAATTAGCACTGTTATTACTAGCACAGATTTTCTGAAGACAAACCTTTACATTTAGAAGTGAAGATAATCAAAACACCATGGCGATAAATATGCTCAAAATTAAGCTAATATATGAAAGTACGGAAAAGTCAAACTTTAAAAAGGGAGTACTTACCGCAAAACGACGTCCACATATACAAATGTATGAGTAAATTCGATTTCCCCGTGAAACAACAGTAAGATGATGCTTCGAATAGACTTGCATCTTGACTACTAAATCATCGTACTGATCAAACATACCCTCTCGCTCCAACAAAACACGTAGTACATTATCTGAGAAAGGTAATTCAATACGACGGTGGACCTCCTCGTTTTGCTTAATACTTTCATCCGAATAGGTATTAGGAGTATCACTAGCAACTACATTAAGGTTATCTTGAGTTTTGGTTGGAGTGACGAAATAATCCTCCGAGTTTAGATTTACGTTAGCAGTGAGAAAACGATTATCACTTTCTTCATCAGCACCATGAACCCCTTCCTGATGACTATCGTCGTACAGATCTGTCTCAATAGTTTGTGTTTCTAATTCTTCTTGATCATTGAGTGATACCTGAGACTTCGTAAAATCATTCGAGAATTGATTATTTTCATCATTCATTACTTGAGAATAAGTCTCATTTGAATCCTCCTTTATTTCTTCGGCATCACTATCAGTCGAAGTAACTTTAAGGGTTGACCTTGTATCGGTTAGTTGTATTTGTCTTCGTCTATGATCTTCAACGAACCGAATCATCCTGTCATCTGAATGCAAACGATATGTTGTAGTATCATGTCTAGAAGCCCGAAGACAGAGTCTGAAACGCTTAGTAGAAATGCCACAGTGAGAACCCATAATGTGTTTGCGAATATCGGCTAATGAGTGCACTGAAGTGTACATGCAAGTCGGACAAGAAAAACGTTTTTGTGCTCCACCAGGAACTAGAACATCCATAATGACATGCATTCGAGCATAGTGGTTCATACGATTGACAAGTTGAATTCGTTCTGGCATCGGGACTTGATAAGCTTCTAGTAAACGATTGAATACTGGGAATGAATATGCCAACTGAACGCGCTGACGTCCAATTTTAGGGAGAAAGATTTCTGTACCACCTGAATAGGTGGACGCTTGGGGTTGACCTGCAGCGACAACAGCAGCAACGATTGGATTACCCATTTCGTCCAGAGGAACAATACCACCTCTACCAATGGGAGCTTGAGCAGAAACCTCTTCTAATGACCGCATGTCTTCATAATGATCAGAGACACCGGTCCCTGGGATAACTCGATGAACTGGAGCACCACCCGAATAGGAAGAACCAGAAGTCACTAAGGTTGGAAGACCATCAGAGGAAACAGTAGCCAGTGGTTCTGTTGGAGAATTTTGGGAATTTTCGTACTTACCCGGTGTCGGACGTTTACAAAGAGGATTAGAGAGCGGTGATATTGGGAAGGGTTTCCGACGGAACGCCTTGCTAGAAAGACGTCCATTTCGAATTCCAAAAGAGTGTTTTGACTGGGGTGAATTACCAGAATTAATAAGTGAGTTGTTAGTCTGACTAGGTAGTCCGCTGTGATGGCTCCTACCGGAATGAGTAAAATCAATGGTAAAACGAGATATGTCACGGCGAACACCAAGATGAGTTATCAGAAGATGTTTCTTGAGGTCTGTGAAACCATGATTGAATGGTTTCAAGCATTCCGGACAACCAGCAACACGACGCTGATTCGCACGACCGAGAATAGGAACACGATAACTGGCGAAACGACGCAACTTTTCAAGGACACCGTTTAGTTCATCATTTGTAGTATCATTATTAGGATTATTAAATTTTTCGTTTTTCATATAAGCAGTGACAAATGCTTGCTCATTAAAATATAGCTGTACATATTCCTCTGCAGTTGTTTCGGTGACACTTTCCTGCTTAGAATCAGTTATATCAGTAGGTAAATTAGAGGTGATAGACATATTGTTGAGATTCATGTCTTTTTCCGGCTTCTTCAGTCCATCGTGATCACCTTCGACACCTATATGCTCTTCATTATCTCCTATTTCATCAGCTTCACAACTATCAATCGATGATGGGCCATGAGCACTTGATAAATGTTTTGTAATTTCAACTGGATGATTGGAAGCGGTTGAACAAAGTAATGGGAGATCATTGCGTAAAGTAGGCCCATTGTTACTATGGAGCAAAGTTGGATTCCCAGATGAGAAAAGATTTGGAAGCTGTTGAAGTGGGGAATTGCGTAAAGTCTCCATATTTTTGCTAATGAAATTATAGTTTTCAGTAATGGATTCATCCGATATAGGAACTGTGAAGTCTTCAGTGATAACCCCGTCATCCTACAAATAAATGTTAATAAAAGGAAATGATATATTGTATACCGCTTGCAAGCTATTCAAATGGGAAGAGGGTCAAGTAGGAGCCGAAACTAAAATTATATTTGACATATATATATATATATATATATATATATATATATACAATCATTAGTTTTATCCGCAAATGGACGCTAACTTAAAATAGTACATGAGAGAAAGCAGTCCATATTTATGTGGTCTTGTGTTTTTAAATAAGAATTTTATGGATTGTTTTTGACAATATGTTGGTTTTGTGTAGATATATGACAATCAATCTACTTGAAGTCAGAGACCTGAAAAACTTCAGTTTAAACTTAAACTATATCTCTAAAGGTTGTATTGGTATTAGTCAGTCATTATCAACGTAGATGATTAGCAAACGTTTTACTTTTATACACATGTTTCACAACCATAGTCGTACGAAGTTTACTGTAATTGTTCCTTGATTTATCAACACTAGTAAGACATGTTGCCCAAACCTACAAGACCTTTCGGGAACGGTGTCAAGATTTCGTTTTGACGAATGGGCTACCAGGAAGGAAATCGATCCCCAAAAAGGTCAGATGGTATGGTTTATAGCAAGATAAAAGAAATCAAACAAAAAATGGGATAGTGAGTAACCCTGATAAACAAAACTTTTACTTGACCGCACCGAAACGGTTAATCATCAGCTTTGACAAGATTATGGGTACTTAAGTAAAGAGCATTTACAAGACCCATGTACACCTTTTAATGGCAATTTAAATTCCAACGGCGTCGAACTCCTCCAGGTCAAGCTGGGTATTGGTAAGTATGCTTATGTTCCAAAAACTGAAAATGGGTGAATACATAATAAATATATGTACCCATCTGGGTTTGGAATCAGCTGTCCTTCCTGAGTTTCATTCAAGTGTCAGATGATTGACAAAGCTACTATTCTAAACACTATTAATTAGAGTGATTCTTGCATAGATTTGTTGTAATTACATGTGCAAAAGTCAAGCAAACGGCGTTAATCATTATTTTAAGAAATGCAGCCAAAATAGGATACCAATTCATTTTATGACGGATTTCAATGTCTGAAATGAGACAGTGAGAGCAAGTTTTTTTAAGTGACTTAAAATAGCTCGGTATAATGGTGAAGTTCCGTTCTCTGATTCAGCTGGTTTGGTCGTAGAGCTTTCACTGTTCTTCTGGGCAACATTATCTACCTGAAGGTGAAAGCTTGTGCAGACAATCGTATTAGAACGAAACTCCATAATCAGCCACCTGTGCTATTTTCTTTACCATCCCAATAACTCGACATTTCTAGGGTTTTGTGAGTGCCTAGAAGGGATATAATGGATGAAACCTATGTAGTGGACCAGAATTTATCAATAATCTAAGTAATACCATCGCTTCCCGAAGTTTGAGCCTCTGAATTACATACAAGATACCTAGAAAATTGATGTTCAGTGAACTTGTAGGTCTAAGCATGGAATAACAGAAAGACTTAGAAGTTCATGTTCTGAGAATTGTAATGCGCATCTACAGCGGAATTTATTCAGCAGGTAAAGCACGGCTTTAAATCGTACGTCTTGTGTTAGATTGAAGCTGCAGTGTATATAAAGCACAATTATCCACTGAGTTAAAACTTTACACTAGAAAATTGCCAGTAGTTAGAGGCTGCAAAAGTTTTAGTTTACAAGTACAACAAGCTTTAGCGTATGATTTTATTAATCGAGATCTCAAGTGTAACATATGCATTAAGAGTAGCTTTCTATTCTCATCATTTGTATTTGTAACTAAAGTTTCGGACGCATTAAGCAGCTCATTTCTAAACAGTAAACTGTAACACTGGAAGCGTTTAACCTTTAACGGGAAAAATTCCAATGCAGAAACTAACCTCATTAAGCAAGGGATGCATATCATGTAAGTGTTCTGTTAGCATGTTACGAACGTTGGTCATCCAGCCGCATTCAGAACAACGATGAAGAACGCAGGTGACCGATAGAGAAGTAATGAGCAAATGAGAGGAAATAGCTCGGCAAACTGCTAAATGTTGAGCAAAGTTTTCCAGGTGAGAGGTACCAAATGAGCACTGTGCACAGAAAAATGTTGATGGGACACGGCGGCTTAATTTCGTAATGTCGGGAGAATGCGCTTGAATACGAATCGGTCGTACAGAAGAAGGCCAGGAACACATAAACTAAAATAAATGCTAGAGGTATTAAAAACAACATACCGAATAAGTTGTAGTCACAAGAGGACTGTTGGTACCATGAAAATTGAGTGAGTGTTTTTTTTATTACTTCCACATTTTTAGACTTAATACGACAATTAGGGAAGCAACAGTGAAACATAATAAGTGAATATTTGCGAAGATGTGTTTTTAACTCCGTAGGTGAGTTCATTGGTTTATCACAATGGCCACATTTGAAAAACACATCGTTTCTATCAATATCATGGAGGCTTAAGGCGTGTTGAGCAAGTGCTTTCATAGTACCGTACGATCTAGGACAACAAGGACACATAAAAGGTAGATTTTGAGTATCTACTAGACAAAAATGTGTGTCAATGTGTTTTGAAATCGATACTGACGGGACCAATTCAGAGCAATAAATACAACGAAGACTTCTACTTTCCGGATGAGCAGACCTGATATGTATTTCTAAGCCATGTGATTCATTTGAGCGAACAGAGTAGACAGGAGAACAGAGTGTGCAAAAGTACTTGTCAGAAGAGTTTTCAATAACATTTAGCATCGCTTCTTCGCCGATGGATTCCATGACTCTCACTGGGGTACTGCGTTACTGACCCCAACGACCGACAGCACAGATGATAGTAGCTTTAAGGCGTAGAACACTAGGTTTGAAATTGTACAAAGTGTAATCGTACCAAACAAAAATAAGCGAAATCAAAATTTAACATTTTTCATAGAATATTTTTAACTTAAAAATATAGATATACTGGTTCTGAAGTTTTAGAGTTCATTCAATTATAGAGTTTACCGCTTATATTAAGTTATATGATATCGTGGTATATGTTTCTGTCCGTTGTGGGTATTTTATATCACTTTGACTTCTACTTGATATATATATGTCGGATATATTACTTCAACTCTAAATGAAGTTTGCTGAGCGTTTGAATGCTCATCTTACTCCCGAATGGAGAACTCAGTATATTGATTACGATGTAAATTCATATATACAGATATAATATTTTTAGGAATTGAAAGAGCATCTTTATAAGTATACACATGTCTTGGAAACTCTACCTTGTAAGTTTTTTTCGCTAGTTTACCTCATTTTTATACTAGTTTTCTCTGAGGAAGAGACCAAGACGTTTCTGGATGAATGTGATGAGGAATTTTTTAACTTATGTGAAAATGCTTTGAGAAAGATTGAGGTATTTTTCTCCGGTGAGACTAAAATAATTTTTTGACATCCAAATTTAGAGAAGATTGCTGAAGCAAAACGAAAGTTCACTAATTTAGTAGATGAGCTTGACAACTATATTGAGTCCACTCATCACAAATCTATTAGTTGGATTGCCGGTTCTAAAGTCTCGCTTTCTAGAAGACTAACAGAATCATTTGGAAGAGAAGGGGAAAAATGTAGAGTGTCTGTACGGGAAAATGGCTCGGCCAATACACCTATTTGGAATAAAATTAGCAAGATACATTCTGGAGAAAACTCGGAATTACGTCGGCGCCAGAGTCGTGCCAAACCGTTTGAAAATCCGAAATATGATGCCCAGAGGTTGGACAGGAGAAAGAAGACATTTAGAAAGCTACACGATTTAAAGCTAGCTTTCAGTGAATTTTATCTAAATCTTATTTTACTTCAAAATTATCAATCCCTCAACTTCACGGGATTCAGAAAAATTTTGAAAAAACATGATAAGGTAAGAAGTGTTTGAGGCTATGTTCCACTATATCCTTTCTCAGCTAAATTATCCATTCAAAAACATCTGTTTTATCTAATAGAAACTCTGGAAAGCCTTGTACTTATATTTCATTTGAACGGTCTTAAACACTTAAGTATATGAAGAGAAGCTTGTCTCGTTGGATTTTTAACCTTTAGTATTTGACAGAGAAGCTACTTTGGTCTAATAATACCATTATCTACTGTCTGTTTGGTTTCTTTTATACATACGATGATGTATATCTCGATTATCATTTGCAAACACTGTTTTTTGCATCGGTGACCGTATCAAAAATCTGTATTTGCTAGCTTTTTAATTTGGCTTCATTTCGTTTCCAAGTTAACGTTAAAGTTATTCTCTCTCAAACGTGTGCTGTCACAGTAAGCCTGCATCAACAATGACTTTAATGCATGCATATGTCACAGTTATTTCTACTAGTCCACAAACTTTGAAATTACTAATCCTTATTATCTAAAGTGTTATCTCTAATTTTGTTGTTTGCTCATAATTTCCATCATAGTGATATTTATCGACAAAAGCTTTTAATTTACTTTTAAACTTTATTATTTATGGCTATATCATGACAGTGGATTAACAAAAGCGAGTCATCGAATTGTTTAGTCATATTTCCCTAGATATTGTGATATCTTGCCGGTTCTATTAGTTAATTAGTGCACTTAGTGGAGAAAGAATCTTTCAGAGGTCTCTTTAACTGACATATTCTTTAACATCTACACTAATCTTAGTGAACAATCCCTATTTCAAGATAAGCTATCTACGTAATTCACTTCTGAAGCACCCTCCTGCTTTTAGCGGACAAAGTAAGTTGGTTTTGGAAGTACTGTATATTTCATTGCCTTTTGGCAGTCATAAAGTGTGACAGAACATGCTGGTTGGACTATGATACTAACTTATGACCGAGAAAAGTAGACACGCAGGTGCAAAAGAAGTAATGCTATGTCCTAAAAGATAATAACTGGGGAAAATTCACTCTGTAAACCTCCCCTAGACCTGAAATTTGAGGCTGTAATTGGTTTTTGAATATCCAGTATATTTTAGTCATATTAAAAAACTACTTACTTATATATACCTGTATATATTACTTACTATATATTCTGAGACTTAAGAATATCAAAGGGACTGATTTTGTTTACAAAGTTAACTGACAAATCCACTTAAATGTCTCTGGATTCGTAGTAAACAGTATCAGAAAAAACGAATGTCTGATAGTAGTTAATAAATTCTATCACTCAGTGGTTTATTCACTTGACTTTCTAAAACTGGTTATCATACGTTATGTGGTTCTGTGTTAGGTATATATTGAGTTACACTAACATTTTAAATGAATCCTTTATTGTAGTATTCTGCCAAAATAATCAATTTATGTGATAATACGTTTAATAAATGAGGCTTTTGAAATTTGGTAAGAACGTTTAGATTTCTCTTGATGACTTTTCTGTTCTTTTTGGGAGCGTATAAATTCACATATGTTTTATTTATAGCTCCTCCGTCGAAACACAGGACTACTTTGGCGGCAACAAGTGGTTGAGTGTGCACACTTTAATACTAGTAGGGAGGTTGATGACCTTATTACAGAGGTTGAGGTGAGTAATCAAGTTTTATTAAATGAAGTTCTGTTTCTAGTTGGATGGCCATTCGGTAAAAGCTATGCAGCTAAATATGGAAAAAGAGTTTATCGCCTAAGAATGCTGAAAATTAAAATCTAGCCTTATGTGTTCTCTCATGAGAGGATGCCAGTGTTTTGCCATCTTTTTTTTAAAGATAGTTTGTAGGTTGTTTTGGCTATTTTTATGTTCTGTTGACATATAGTGACAGTAATATCTGTGTATTACTTAGTTGTTAGGTTTTATCAGTTGAATCTATTTGTTAATGCTTTTATTACTGTAATTGGAGTTATATTTTCGATGAACTGCCATATTCATGACATTGAGCCAACGCAACCAGTGAGTTTTACATTGAATAGTATTTTACGGCTCAGAAAAATGAGGGGCGACTATCTATTTAACAGACACGAAGAAGAAATTCGAAATGTTAATGTCATAATAATTAATGGACAATAATCATTAAAAATCGTTAGACAATGATAATAATTGGCTATCGTTTAAAAAGTGTAAAATAATGGTGAAAACACAAACCAAACTTATGCATGTTAGAGAAGTGTATCAAAGTTATGGAAAGATAAGAGTTTACATATTCTTAACTATTGCACTCAGAGTTCAGGCTTTTGTCGGTGGATTCTCAATCTCTCAATGGGGCAAAAGTATTTGTATTAACTTCCCTTTGATGGTGCGAAGACTGTTTTGAAGGACATTTTCTGTTAAGCAACTTACTGAGAGTCGATAAGGTACCTCTGTATCAAGCTATTCATTATTTAGGATTCATTTGTTAAAAGATATGCCGAGTAATACTTTAAAGAGTATTCTTGAGTTTAAAGAATATTCACTTTATGAGGCGAATGATGATTGAAATACTGGATTACTTTATGATGTGATATCTTTCTATTTTTAGATGGGCTTGAACATCTTTCTATGAAATTAAATATCAGCACTTTTGCAAGACATTGTTTATAAACGATAACCACAGTTTTATATCTAGCCAGTTTGAATGTGGTTGTTGTTGTTGTTGGTTGTTTTAGTTACAGCTTACCATCTGATACCCAACAAATGTGTTGTAATTTTTTTAACACCGATAATGGTATTTTGCAGCAGGTTCTAAAAGAAATATATGCACCATTTTGACGTCTATATTCGGCACAATATCAAACCTTTGAATATTCCATTTTTTTCTATTGCTTTATTATAGAATATATTCACAGAGAAATTAGAACAAGGTGATAGACAAAAGGCGATGAAACGGCTACGAGTGCCTCCACTTTCTGAGACGGTATGCACAAAACCTTTTAATTGTCTTGCATTCATGAAATTTTTAAAACCTGAAACAGAGTTCCGACGGTTTTGTACTAATGAAGGAATGATCTTTAGGTGGTCACTAAACCCAACGTGTAAGAACGGTCGAAAAAAATACATATTTCATTTTTTCACTGAAATCAATTCCCAAAAATATTCATTAAATGGTAGTTATTTTTTAGGTGATTATGCGTAATGGTTTCCAAGAGATTGATGGTTATTAGGTAGCCATAATTTCTGGTTAAATACTAGTGAACATAGAAATTTCCAAGATTTTTAAGACAAGTTATATCTACTGCTAAGTACTTAAACAATTTTTATAATATTCAAAACATTTCATTCAAATGGCGTTAGTTGGTTCACTGCTGAGTATGTTTTAACCAAAGGTTACCCTAATCGTATACTTTTTTCACAAGGAGTTTTTCAAAACTTTGGATGTAAAATTGATAAACTTTTCCCTGTTTCTTTTTATTGTTCTTCAAAAACAACATTAACGGATTTAATGTTTCTTTCTCTCTCTATGAAAAGTTGTTAATTCCTAAATTCTTGTATTACTTCTCGAATAAGTTAAACTAAAGATCAGAATAACAATGTGAATCTTAAAACATAATGCAAAAATCCGTCATTTTGAATTAACACAATTCACGATAATGTAGTAATGCCAATTTGACAAAAACAATGATGCGTTAAGACGGACGAATGAGGCTAGAAAATGCAGGTCAAGTGAGAAAACTCTATGAATATCTCATGAAAACGCATTATTTCGGAAATGGAAAGATATGAATTTTAGCACAGACTTAAGTATTTTAATTTTAAATAACATTTTAATTCAGTAAATTTTATGTCATGTATACGATATCTGATATCAATTTTAGTCTGTTTTTTCATTTTTCTAAAATATCATATTATCAGTATTTATTTACTGTCAAGTATATATATATTATCAATAAACTGACGGGTCCCGAATAGGATGAAACGTTCGTTCTGAATTCCACTGTTCGCCATCATCCATCTTTGTTTTAAAACGATTCATGAGATAGTTCTCAATATTGAACTACTTTATCTAATGTATGGTGTAATCTTTATATGTTATCAAAACAGAAAGTGAAATAACTTGCATAGATCTAGTAATTAATACTAAAGACTTTTTATACAAAAGAAATTTATTGCGATGCATTTCGTTCATTCAGATAAGTTAATTTAATTGACATTTATCACAATATCATTCAGCGAACATATATAATACATTATACTATATTTGGCCAACAAAATATCAGTTAACATTAAAAAACGTATTCGTATTGAAAAGTATCTAAAGACTAGAAAAAAACAGAAAACTGGTTGTAGATGCTCTCTTGAATAGAAAGATTTGCCAATGTTTTCGGTTTAAATAATGTAACTTTTGAATAGTATAAATGTAGTTATCAGTAAAATCCTCCTTGATTTTTAATCTCTCTTATAACGCAACCCATTGCTTGTTATACAAATATTGAAAGATTGTTACATCGTATGAGGTCTAGATTAAACACCTCATCTTTATCGAATGTAAATACTGATGTTGTCATATATATATGTCTTGCGAACAGAAAATATCAACTCTTCTAGTTTTGTCGAAGGCATCATAAATATTAGAGTATTATTTTAGCCATTGAAATCGATTAGTAATCATTGATTTCAATCATTTAACCAGTGTACATGGTAATTGATTCTCATGCATCCAAGTTCTTTTCTTATTTTCATTTGATTTTAAAAACAATATGATATTTATTGTGCTTTCTCCATTTTTCATATTTATACATAAACTAAAAATAGAAAAATTAATGGCGGAGAAAAAAACAATTATGTAACTACTATCTTTTCATCGCATCATTTTCAAAAAAAAAGAAAAAAAATCAATCCCTTATCGTAAACTAATATTTTGTTTCATTATTGTTCATTCATCCTTATTTCTAATGAGTCTCTCTCTTTTTTTTGTTTTAATGTTTTTTTGTTTCAGTACAATCCACGTGGTTTATTTCTTTTTGGTTTATTTTTTGGAGTTTTTCTGGCTCAATTTGTTGCCATCCTGTTAACTTGTAAGTGTTATATGAATAATAATTTTTACTACTATCATACATTTATTTTACAATTTACGTGTAATAAATGTCTAGATAATTATTTATAAAAAGCAGATGATCATTGATTACCAAAAAAAAAATAATGATATCGAAAATGATAAAATATCATGGATAATTATAGATATTGTAAATTCAAAAAAGGTTTTCATACCATTTTTTTTATTTAAAAACTAATTTAAGAAAAAAAATCAGAATAATTGCAACATGATCTTCATGGATAAGTAAGCGTAATTTCAAAACAATGTAAGGAAAATAACAATACATATTTTTAAACTAAAATTCATTAGGCATCAGATAGTTAAAATATGGAAAAAATTCTTATTCGGTAAGGCAACCTATCTAAAAGTGATAATGAGGAGTCGAATATTTTATTTTCCACAAATATTATCATCATCACTGTGGATTTTGATTTTTTCATTACTTGTCCGAAAAACCAGGAATAAAAATATATAACGATGCCGAAATATCATTTGGCTTTTTAAGGGAAAAATAAGTTACAAAACTTTCGGTTTAAAACATAAAAGGTATGAAATATCAACTAAACAGAAAGTTTTCACAATATTTCCTATTGAGAACTAATTCATGAATATTTTTAAAACAAAGATGAATGATGGCGAACAGTGGAATTCAGAACGAACATTTCATCCTATTCGGGACCCGTCAGTTGGATGTACCTGAATTCTGGAGTTGATGTTCCCTCTGATATTTAAACCCAGTACTGTCTGCATTAAGTGCCATCGCGCTATCCAAAGTAATCTATTACATTCTTAAACATCAATGTGAAGGTCCAACAAACTAATTTATATACATATGCCCTCCATGAATTGTATAGTATGTTTTGAGACTTTTTTTCTACTCTGTATACTGTCAAACGTTTCTGACTGTAGAGTCATACAAATTATTGATTATATATATATATATATATATATATATATATATATATATATATCTGTTTTGGTTGGTATTTCTATGCTGCTTATTGGGGAAATCGAATTAATTGAAATATATTGACATAGAAAAAACCATAAATGTTCACTCATTTGGATGTTTCATTGATATTATTAGTCGATATTATATAATAGATGAGATATATGTTATTTTTATTTTCTTGTTTATGTTGAAAACTTATTTAGTACTGTAATCATGCTGATAACCACTGTTTTTATTGACAATAAAAACAATTCTGTTATACATGATTGCATAAAAATAAGTGTGTAGGACTGTTGGATTTATTTGCATTTCAGTTAAATAGCATATTTGTACAGTATACGTGTATTAATGTTTTGACAATATTTGAGGCTTCGACAGTGTATGCGATTTTCAATAAAATGTACACAACACTCAATCTAAGATAAGCTTGTTGGAATACACATGTTCGACATGATGATACTTTTCTTCATTTCATCTTTAAGAATGCATTTAGAAATGAAGTTTTGCACAATTTTGAACAATTTAACGAATATTCTATTATTGAACAGATGTTTTATTCTGAAGTTAACTAACTTTCGTGTTGTTTTAATGTAAGAAAGTACTTAGCAATTTACGTGAAATGTCCCATTAGTTATGTCATGTGTTCATAATATGAAAAAAAAATTAAATTTACAATGAAAGTGTTATTCTAAAATGCTTCACATTTATCACTGCAACGTTTTATTTTTTCTTCATTGTTTTTTTCGATACAATGAATTTATTCATTATGCTTATTGAAAATCAGTTTCAAGTTTTTCTATTTTATCTTTTTTTAAACAAATAGGCAAACATAGTCCTCTTCTTCTGTCATATTTTCCAAATGATGTCTATTTATTTAGTAAGAGAGGCTAATGTATGCATCAGGACCTTAAAAGAATGGTCATACATTCGATTAGTATGGATAAAACTATGCTAGACAATGAATAAATATCACCTCATTTTGTTTCCATTATAACAGTTCAATGAATTGTATGACATGACATGAGAGTGTTTTATCTTTTTCGCAATGTACAAATGAAATTTCTTTGATAGGATTTCTTATTTAATGTAAAATATCTGATAGTTTCTATATGAGTGTGAAGAAATTTTCTTCGAAATACATTTTGTACTGAACGTTGAAGATTTAAATCCAACTGAAAGAATCCAAGTTTACGCTTTAACTTATCAATTTATAGGATCCGATAAAGTTGATGACACAAAATATCATTCTCCGCATAGTTGAAACCTAAGACTTGTTCAAGAAACCTGAATGTGATTGAACTAAATTGAGTAAAATAATGGTGTTTATGCCAATCATATAAGATGATCTTTATTGATGGGAAAATTTTTTTAGGTTCATGAAAGCTAACAACCTATAACTATTATTGAGAAACTCAATATCTGATAAATTCCATTGAACCCAGAAAGGCAATTTTATGAATTATTAATCCATCAGGGACAGTAATCAGATCTGAAAGCACGATAAAATCGTTGTTTAAACGACAATAATCATTTTTAGCTATGATTGTATATTTTCCCTCCAAATTAATGAAAACCTAAACTATACAAAAATAAATGGGCATTTTAGCATTAACTAAACAAAAAGAACTTGAGCTAATTATCTTTTACATAAACTAGGTAAAATGTTGTTCAAATTTTGCACGAGGTATAATCAATTTTTGAAGGACGGTATATATATTTTAGATAAAGGCTTGATCTTTTCAAATTATGTAGTTTCCGAATTGTGAGATATTTTTATTATTTCTGGATAATCTGACAGGATAATTTTTTGTATTTTTCGAAAAATATGTTATTATATAGGATACATTTTGTATGTTGTAGAAACAATAAATGTAAAATCGACATCTCCGTTGGCAAACGAGTTGTTTTGTATCAACACAATTATATTTTAGTGTAACATACAGTAATTACATCCAAATTAACAATAATCAGGCCATCTGACCAAAATTCAAAGTATTGTAAATAGATTTTATTTTTTTTCAGAGTTTAAGAGCTTCTATTAATTCGAAATGTAGCAGCAACAATAAAAATACAAAATGGGATCATTTATTATTATGAGATATAATAAGAATAACAGGAATAAACAGTGAATTAACCTTGTTAAGTTCCTTAGTGTTACACTTAATCTATAAAAAGGAATGCTATTCTGAATTACTAAATGCAAATTTGTTCGAAATTATTGATGAATAAAGGATTATAAAAATAAATTGTCTTTAAATTATATCCTCCATACTAAATCGTTAAATCACCCGAGCAATTGGAATATGAACACATTTATCGATGAATTACTGGGTTTAGCAAAATAAATTTATCTGGTGAGCGTTCTTCACAGGAAAACATAACGGACAGAAATATTTTTCTTAAAACTTTATTTTAATGCACTTGAATTGAGATGCCTTAGTGTTCTGAATAATTTTTGGATTGCATTGCATTGAATATTATCGATCTGTTATTGATTTATCATCTTGCAATCGCAACTGATTCAGCAAATGTCACTTATCTCAACTGAGAAATATTACACTTTAGAACTGTTTTCGAAAACAGTAGCTGTGCCTTTCACTTGTTTTACTATGTACAGATAATTCTTTTCGGGATAAACCAAGACTTTATTAAACCATACATTCGATGTGAAAAAGGATTTATATCAGTAAGCATGATAGCATGATAGTATATTCTCATTAAATGATCTTGAACCAGTTTACGTCTCCTCTAAAATATATTAAAAAACGTAATCAAAGTTTAAGTCCACATTTTAGTTGTGTAAGCAGCTATGGATGAAATTCTATGGTTTTCTATTTCCGAAGGATCACTAGTCTAACTTTCGTGTTTGTGCATTGTCTTAAAACAAATTGTCAGCCGGAGTTACTACAACGAACATCGTTCAGTAGGTGGTCCTGTCTTCTACAGATTTATTCGAATTTGTAAGAGGAAATTGATTTATTTCCAATGCCCTAATTATATATATCCCGCATGATAATTCTAAAGTAACAGCATATTATCTTATACTAGATCTATGTGTAGGAGTACCAAATCTTTTGTCTACTATTTCAGAGATTACGGAGATCAGGGGTTGAATATCCCAAATGGTGTAGTTCTTAATGAATGGTACTTGTGTAGATGTATTGACTTTTTGTGTTGCTTGATTATGTAAGCAAATTTAATTCCTTTTTCTATCAACATTTTCCTCTCACAACTTCTATTATTGACAGTGTTAAATTCTTCACTTACGGTCAGAACTAGAGGATATTATGAGATGATATGCATGATCTAGGTTTGCACTAATCAGTCACCTCATGGTGTGAATAATGTTGTGTTGTATAATCCGTAATCTTGGTCGAATCTTAATGTGTGAGGCTTCAACACGGTTGCTAGGCTAAGTGATTGAACATTATGGTTGGCTTTATCTAACGTTAGGTGATTGAAAGTATTTAGCCGAAAGTAAATAAATAACATTGCCATCATCTCTTTTATAAAAAAGAATTTATTTTCTCTTTTAATGTAATTATACTAGCTGAACAAGTAATTAAAACTTGAACTGTTAAGACATCATTGATATATACTTACTTTTTTTCCGTATACAACAATTGAATTCATTTGAAGGTGTCAATATTAGTGTTTCAGTTTATCTCACTTTTTTGTTAGTATATCGTTTATATTTTTAGAATCGATATAATTTCCATTCACTCTTCTTCATTGTTTTATCACAATTGATTCAAATGAAACTTTTTACAATTTTCTTTCTTTCAAAACATTCATGTTTATGTACTGATATGAAGTCTCTCAAATATTTTTATGATAAACATATCAGCCAGTTGGTTCAGATAAATGTTATCGAATATATGAAATATCAAATGTTGATATAAACATTTATCAGCATAATTAACGTAATCAGTGTTACATTACATTGTGTTTCTTAATTTCGGCAATCAGATGATAATTAATAATATTAAAAACTGCTGTTTACTGGGTGTGTATAACAAAATTACACTTCAAACGATAGGGTTATATGCAATTCATATTGTATCGCTTACATGACTAAACTGTATACCAAGTTAAAAAAATTCATTTATCAATCTGTTTGAAAGAAAAATTGAAACTTGACTGAAAAAGATTTGACTTGATTTTTTTTTATCGGCTTTGAAAAGCACAACGCAATCGCGAGTTCATAGTTTGAACTTGTCTAACTAAAATGTTCAACAACAATATGAATAACTGCGATTTGCTTAACACATGACTGAAATAGATTTTGAAATAAGCAAAATTCACTCACTAAAATGTTCATCCAATGGTTTATCCACGATTATCAGAGCGATTTATTTTTGTTCTGCATAATCGTCATGCTGTCTACTCAGTAAAATATAGTTAGAATTCCTCTTAAATGAAATTCACGATAGATCACCCTAGTTCATATGAACATTGCGATTTTTAAGAGAAGTATACCGTTACTTGTTAGAGTCATATCTATTAATTTGTCGTGGGAATTCCTCGTTTATACCCTAGACATTGAAGAGTAAAGAACTTGTGACTACTAATTAGTACAAGTAAATTCATAAGATCAGTGGATAATATCGACGAAGAAATTCAACCAACTAGCAAATTCACGACAGGGATAACTAACTAGTCAGCTACACTATTGCTATATGTAATCCAACCAAAATACAAATTCCTTTAAACATATATATATATATATATATTTGAAAACCTCATATATTTCATACTATCCTGTTGCTTTTTAGCATTTAAGTTATTTTTGATATTTCGTTCATAAATAAAATTACTGGAAATGATTGTGGATTTACTGAAGATCAGTAAATTATCGTCACCGAAAAATATTATGGTCCATTGCCAATAAAAAATCTAGAACATTGTACAAAACAGGATAATTTTTAATTATTCTTATTTGATAATATGTCATTATTGATGTCAGTTTATTATTTCTACAAAGGTCTAGACTCTTAGTGTCTTTTCATTGAATATTAATTTGTAGCATCCAAACTGAGGTTTTGATAGAGGAATAGCTCTCTAGGTAGTTTAGATACGCGTCTTGACCATTTGAAATCAAAACAAGTGATTTGGGTAAATAACGTTTCTAATATTCATCATAAATATAAATTTACATCATTACCTAAGCAATATTACCACTCAGTTGTTCCACCAACAATTGTTTAATTATTCAAATCAACAGCAGCAAATAAATGTTGTTCTATTCCTGTTGGATAGATCAGATTTGTTCGAAAGATAATATTTAGTTGCTTTATAACACAGAGTGTTTCCTATTCTGGAAGAGTGCTTCAATTCATAATCAAAATTCACAATTCCAGTCAAAGCAAGCAACCCAATCAAAAGAGGAACAAATCAATATGGCTGTCGCCATGACTATGTATTAGCTTAAACAACATAATGCAGTTCAGAAAGAAACATAGAAACTCAGTAAAGGCAGAGGAAATAGAAACTATAATAAAATACAAATATTATCATCTCAAAATGGAATCGAATGCATTAACAAAATGTACAACTGAAGGAATCAATAAGGACAAATTACAAATACATACATGCATAGAGGGATTTTCACAAACAAAGCCTTCGAAAAAATGGATCTTACAAATTTACTTTACTGACAAAAATTATTAATTATATTTTAATTTCTATAATTTATACTAACTGTGACTATTTTATAGTTGTACTATAGCTTGCTTTAATTGCTAAATTGCTATATTGCTATATATAGTGTAAATTAATCTGTTTAAATGAATTTATATTCGCAACAGTTAAAATAAATTTCCGAAATTAATGAATAATTCATATTTCTTGTTATAACTGTTATTCTTAATTTATTTGAACTTATTAATTGAAAAAAAATGTGGTAGAACATTATTTTTCTGAAATCATCTTCTCCGACCTTTTTATTTATCTAGAAAAATGATCAGTTTTCAAGAGAAAAAAATATGTATATTACCTTTCAACAATTTTTGCATTTAGTTTTATGGATAATTATTATTAACATATGGATTAGATGATTGAAATAATCAACTTAAATGATTAGAAAATTATCATCATGTATGTTATAAATTTATTTAATTCTGTGAATTAAGAAACAAAATTTACAATGAACAGTAGTTGATTTAATCATTAACATGAAATCAAGAATTTTGAATAAAATATCTATTTTTAGAAAAAAAACATGTAAAAAATAAGTTGAATAGAAGTTACTTACATGGTTATTGTAACCTTATAATGCAAAACATTTTTATGAACTCTTGTGATATCATTGAAGGTGAATATGAAAATTGTTACGTAACAGTCCAGTGCTATAAAGATCGAGGCCTGATGGTTCTAAGCCCGACCACTTATTTGGTAGTGGATTTTCACTGCTACTACTAAGACAAAATAACTGTTCAATGCTTCCAGATTTTCAGCGGTTGTTAAGCCTTTAATTAGTCCATGATGTGAAACACCAAAACATGAATCGATCAGTGATCATGTTCATAATTATTCTTCAGTAATTAATGTTTTGATTCATTTTCAACTTCATATACATTACAAGTTTTTCATATGAAATATTCATAATAGAAATTATCGTGTTAATTTAGTTATATGCAATTTTACATAATTTATAAGATTATTAATTATTTGTTGAAATGATTTTTGATTAATGAAAAATAGAATTAATTCTTAAAATAAAAGAATGTCACACTTGTTTTCATACTGCTCACTGAACAAACGTAATTTTTATTACCTAAGAGATATAAATATGATTTTTTTAAAAATTGTTTATTGAAAAACAACTGTTTTTGCCTTTATTGATTTACTATACAAGCGGAAAGCAAGATGAATTTGTTGAGTTGTGATTATAGAGTACTTTGAGGAAATAGAACAGAACACTAAGGATATGCATGATGACAGTCATTAGGGTTGAATCAACTTGAAATAGATAACGTGAATAATGCGTACACGAAAATGCCCGCTGATTATAATGTGCGCATAGAGAATTAAATTAAATGTGAATTCCTGACTCAGTATGACCTCATTCATTCACATTTCAGCTAGTGATACTCTGCGCGGTTGCCCAAATCAAACTAGATGAAGTAGAGTTACGAAATTACAACTCAGCACTTGTAACTACTGTGTCACTGCTCCATTCGTAGAACTCGATAAGTTTTTTTCTCTTCTTAGATCATAATTATCTGATTACTAGAATAAAACGCTTAAGCATAAAATAAATTCAATGTACTTTCATCGAATGGTTTTGTAAAGATTGTTTAAATTTTTTAGATGATTATTTGCCACAAACTAATATTAACTAACTATACCATTGTAAAGCCGAGAGACATAAACAGCTGTTTCATTTTGGTGTGAGGGAACGAGTCTACTCATTCATCACTGTTTTATGAGTTATTAGTTCAGTAATAAGAAAAATGATAATAATTCACAGCAGAAATACACTTTCTTCACGTTTAGTATTGACAGAAAAGAAAATAATCTTTTTGCAATGTTTTTAGTAAAAATGATTCATTTATTTGTAGGTTGTTTTTTTCCTATTATATCTTTTTCAGTTTATTGTTTACGTGTGTAAAAAAAAGCAAATCACTTAACTGAAGTCATTTTTAAGAAAATTGTATTTAACAATTAGCCTAGCATTTATGAAATCATAATCAATAGTTTTTTGAGTCAATTACTATTAGCTTCATTGAAAGGATAAATTTTCAAGGAGCAAAAATGTTGAATTTGTTTAACTGATATAAGCCATTGCTAAATAGTAATAATAATCATAATAACCTTTTATTGACGACAATTTTCTTTTGTTAACCTTCCTTTTTTTTATTTTGTAAATCTATTTTCTTTAGGTATATTTTTACGCCCATTACCGCCACATTATCTTCCAGCTTTAAGATTATTTCGTGGAACATTTCTTCTTATATTTTTTCTTTGTTTATTTGGTGTAAATACATATGGATGGCGTTCATCTGGTGTAAATAATGTACTTATTTTTGTATTTGATGCAAGAACACATCTAGATCATTTTCAATTATTACAGGTAAGCATTTGTTATAATTTAAATAATTTTTGTAAAGAATAAATGAATAATAAACTTTTTTATTTATTAAACAATTTTATTTTCTTTCTTCTTATATATATATATCTAAAAAAAATTAGGCTTTCATTTTATTCTACTGAGATGTTCAAAAAAATGTGCATTAACAAACAGGAAATGAGTATTGTATTTTACTTGTACAAACAATATTTGAAGAGCTTTACATAGGTATTACAAAGAAGTAATGCTATCTAGTTAACCAATTTAAACCATATTGTCGACTGAATATTTCATAACATTTCGGGACCCTGTATAATTTTATATTTTCAGACCGTATGTTGAATCCCTGATATCATGTTACCTTCGAACTGTAGGGCTAGGATTCATTACTGTTGGCGATTTTGATATCGACATAGATCATTCACTATCATACTAAAGTACACATTTTTACTAACAAATTAAAATACCACAATAGTTACGGTTTACATAAGAATCTTTATGAATCAGATTTAAAGGATTATTGAGTATAGGCATTTTGTTATCATTTCACATCATTTTTTTTCATTTTTGGGATTTGCTTGTGGCTATCAACTGATGTACAAATGTGGGTGTATTCTAATGTTGTAAATAAGCGCTATCAATTTTTTCCCGTCGTGTTGTGGAAAGATTCTTGAACCTGACGTTCAAAGTTAAACACTATTTACCTTACAAAATCTATCAAGAGACTTGTAGATAGTTTATACATTTTGAATATAAGGATCTTGATATTGTACTTAGCCATTGCTCATTTGCCTTATAATGAAAGGCCGTATATACTGCTTATCAGTCGGATTACTAATGTTCTAGAGTCGTGAAGTACGACCTATAAAACCTGAGTGAGTATCTGTTATCAGCCTTTTATTTGTCATTATTCCATGGCTATAAAAATGCTAGCATATAGCATTCTTAAAAGTTTGCTAATGAAGAATTAACTCAAGAATTGTGAAAAACATTTGTTGTCTCATTGATTACGGTTTTGGCTTAATAGTAATTTCTACTGAATTCTGATTCATTTTACCTAAAATAGTTAGGTTTGTTTTATTTGCAACAAATCGAAAGATTATACACGCAAAAATGAGTTGATCACTTCAAAGAAAACTAGTATGTTAAAAAATAGATACACGGCTATTTAATGCGACAGTTATTCTATTTGATAACGAAATTTATATTAACTCCTAGTTTTAACCGCCTTTACTGATCGATATTAATTCGTGAAACGATCTGTTTTTTTAAGTTTCAAATGTATGTAAATAATTTTTTTAAACTTTAGATAAAAAATCTTTAAGTTAACAAACAAACTCAGGGTCTTGATTGCTTGAAAAAGTTTTAGACTTTGGAAACTTTATTTTTTATAATAATGAGCATCAAAAAGACTTTTTCAGGAATGAGAATGTAACTTTATGAATTTCATTGAAAATGATGACAACAATCGTTTGTTTCTGCGAATCCATCATAATATCATCAATATTTTGACGTATTGCTTAAGATGCATACTTTTAGAAACTACTAATTTTTAGTTGACAATAATAGCTTACGTTTTTTTTGTAAATTGAGCAAAATATCACTAGGAAGCGTGTATTGAATCTACATTCGATTGGTTTCCATTTCAGTGCTTAATTAGCAAATGATAGCTTATATACCCTAGGTATCAAGTGATTTAAATGACACATCAAAAATTGAGTTACATCTTCCATTCTAAACTGTTTATCCGTTGTCAAATTTTTTAAAAATGAATTTATTGATAATATTATCATAAAGTTTATTTAAAATCTATACCATGAAAAGTACTCGTTGAATATTGAACTGGAATTGCTTGTTGAGTTTACAGCTTGATTATCTGAGTATATGAACTATATGATCGATACAGTTAGTTTGTTGTTATTCAATAATATTTGCACAATTAAACATGACACGAAAATCACCATTATTATTATTATTATTATTACTTTTTTAACAAGTTCAAATGTATAATTTTTTATGAATTTCATTTTTGAATTCATGGTCAAAATTGATAAAATAGTGTTGCTGGTCCTGTTAGTGAAATCACGCAAATCATACATGATGATGTTGTTTCAATAAAAACGATAAATTTTAGACTTTTTCTATTTTGTATAGACTTTTGTGAATGATTATATCATTGGTAATGATTTCATAGATAGATATAACAATCAACTAAAGATAAATACACATCGCTGCTTGTTATATTTTCGGATTAAGAGCTCATACTACTACAACTACTGCTACTACTACTTATATTAATGCTACAATTACTTTGTCCGCATCAAGGTAAGGGGAGAGAATGTTTCATCTATTAAACTAATAGTTATCAGCATATGAGATAATGACCTGTTAACTGAAATAGGATTAGCAGACCATTTGTTCAGTTTTATGTAGTCTTAAAGTGGGAGTTACAAAGTGACTTATGTCATAGGCAGGTGATAAGAATAATTTCTTTGCTATAACAATGAATCACTTGGGTTGTAAGTTCTAACTTGAATTTGACGGTTTTATTATTTCGAGAATTTTTCGATTAGACAAACATATATTTATTTTTGTAAAGCTTTAAAGACTTAAACCGGGAAGTTAAATAGATGAAATTCACAGATTTTCAGCAGATTTCTGTTATTTAACAAAAATTTTGAAGCGAAACCCAAATGAATAGTTGGATTGTGGTAGACACTGCTAAGATGGATTAGCACATTAAACAGTAACTGATTCATTCACGCATGCAGGTTATCGGATAGTGACTTAGGTACCTGAAATCCTATTATCAAGAAACATGCTGTGCGTATTGAGATATTCACAGTATAGTTTTCACCTGAGATTTCCGCTGCTGGTGTTTGTTAGAAAATCTTGCATCATTTTGAAGGACTAATTTGGCACTGCTTAGCATCCTAATCACAATATTTCACTTTAAATTGTTTAAGCTTTTGGTAAATCCTGCGTCTCACTGATTTTAAGTGTACAGAGTGGTTTATTTCACTCAGCACTCGTTCACTACTGGATGGGTTTCATTTAATTTCTTTGAGATTTGGGACAGAAAAACTTGCCTTTTCATTCAAAAGATTATCAAAAAGCCATTTTAACTAATGTCATTTGATTAATTCACTTTGAAAACACGTTTTCCATATCTTTTTCGACATTTTTATGTAGAAATATCCAAGTTCATTCAGATTATGATTTAATTTTATTTAAAATATCAGTGTGAAATAAAACGTTAGAATTTAGCAATTTGGATGATTCTGAACGTTTTATTGAATTTACATGATAATCGCCAATATAAATTAATCTCAGTATTCAGTAACTTATTTAGTCATTTATAATTCGACTACACAATGGTCTGGAAAAAATTCGCTATTTTTATGTACATATTTATCATTACACATTCTGAAATTATTTCCGCATAGTTTGATTGCTTTTACTACTAGACAAACTATTTTCACGTTAACATTTAAATAAAATCACGTTCTTTTAAAAGTTTATGATTATCGTTTTACGAGCTTTTTTAATTCATGTAAGCTCTTCTATTACGTCTAATCACTAGTCAATAATATTATTTTTTCGAATAAGGTCAAAGTGACTGCATGTCAAACTATTCAGTCTAAACTGTCATATATAGTCAGTCATTTTGTTTTATTATTATTATGTGACTGTTATCTTTTAATTTTTGGTCGATTTTTAGACAAAAAATGTAACAATGATGTTGCAAATATTTTTTTCTATTTATGTGTAGCAATTGAAGACGTAAAACTGTTCTCTTTTGTGATAGGATAAGATTATAAATTCAATGAACCATAAAGTACTCTTCGGTGTAATAGATACTTGTATCATGTGTTTCAATCATGGCATTTTTCTGAGAAGAATATCCTTGAAATCTAATCTAATATTAAAATGAGTTAAAAGACTCTGATCGATCGTTGACTTGGATAGTCTTCTCACAGATGTAATAGGTTATTTGGATTACGTCTTACTGCATCATCCTCGATGTAAATAAAATGTTTACGGAAAGCCAAGTGTATTACGCAACATATTGCTATGTCATTTGACTAGTGTGAAACAGTATCTGTGATGGTAAATAACTTATACAAATTGATAATATCTCATATTCTGTATGAGGTTATTTGAGAAGAAACACTCAATGAATTATCTGAAGTTAAATGTAGGTTACTATTTTGGAATAATGGGTGGACTGATTCAGCTTCTGAAATTTCAAAGACTGAATTAGTTAGGTCGTACAACAGTGGGTAGTATTGAGAAACTTTGGAAAATATGTCTAGACAGCCAGATTAATACATAGTCTCAGTTCATGAAGTTGTAAGGCGCTGGAATGAATCACATCGCGAGGTCTGGACTTTCTGATTGTAATATAAAAAACAATGGTAACGTGTAGTTTGAAGTCAGAGATATCAACGCAAATCAATTCGTATTTTATTCCCAGATAAAAATTTGAATTCTAGTAGTACTTCCGGTTTTTCATGATTTAGTTACATTTCTTCCTATTGAATTAGATTTTCAACTTTAGTTTTTTTTATTGTAGATATCAGCTGTTTAGATTAACTAACAGATTAAAACTTGATCATTTACGTCAATTCTAGAAAGATTCATGTTAAATCTGTCATTTTAGCTTGGTCTTAGAATAGCTTTTGACTCTACAAATTTTAATGCCCACAAATATCTCATTCTTTCTTATATTTTTTATAATCTTTTTCACTTTTTCTATAAAACATTTCTTGTTGTCCAAAAACCGATGACACAACCTAGATTCAACATTTAAAAGCCTGACTAGTTTTAATTCTTTTAGTTTAAATAGTTCAATATTTCTATTTTATTATATTCGACAGAGTCATGCACAAGTATGGCTTGTTTGTCCCGGTATGCGACTTCAAGGCAGTGCCTATCCACGACTCTGTACACCAGAATTGAACCTAGGAGCCTCAACAATTGTCTAACGCTTTTGAGTATCG